GGTGTAACAACAGTATTTATTTATTGTAACAAACTAGCGGTGTTTTGGTGTAACAACAGTAGTTATTTACTGTAACAAACTAGCGGTGTTTTGGTGTAACAACAGTAGTTATTTATTGTAACAAACTAGGGTGTTTTGGTGTAACAACAGTAGTTATTTATTGTAACAAACTAGCGGTGTTTTGGTGTAACAACAGTAGTTATTTACTGTAACAAACTAAAGGTGTTTTGGTTATTTGCTGTAAAAATTGGACGATCTATTCAACTCCCTCGTACTGATCATTGACAAGAACCTAACCTTCTGTTCCAAGCAGCTGAGGAGGCTCTTCCTCTGAAGTCTGTCCAGTCACCAACCCGGCCATCACGTTATAGTCCATGTTGTCGTCAAGAGTGATGAAAGGAGGATTCCACCGTGAAATGGGGGTAGTTCGTGGAGAGCTACGGGAGGCAGTCACTGATGATGTAAACATGGCGATACTAGGGGGACTAATAACCCCGCTTGTCCCATTAGCTGGACTGATGTTTGGATAAGGAAATATCTATGGGTAGAGATAGGAAATTTTCATATACTTGATTCAGAATATAATAAGTTTTTACGTCAATAATTACAACCTTTCGACCCATAGCTGTTTTGATGATATTTTGAATTAGTTTTCATGTTAGTAGGTTTCTCATTAAATATTAATTCCATATACTGGCATGTGAATGACAAAGAAAATAGGAGTAATTTTAATATAGCAAAAAGTAGAGGAGTAAATATTGTTATTGTGAAAAGTCAACACTAATATGGGAAAATCAATAACGTAAACATAGTTAAAGTGGAAAGTCAACACTAATGTCGTAAAATCTAGTAGAGTAAATATTATTATACTGAAAAATCTACACTAACATGACATAAAGCTAACATTAAAATGGCGGAAAATGAATACTAATATGGCCTAAAGCCAACACTAGTATGATGAAAAGTTAACAATTATTTGGCGTAAAGCCAACAATAATTATGATGAAAAGTCAACACTAATAAGGCGGTAAAGCCAATAATAATTATGAAGAAAGTTACCACTAATAAGCCGCAAAGTCAATAATAATTATGATGAAAAGTTAAGACTGACTAACATGGCGAAAAGTCAACACTGATATAGCATACGTCCAACACTAATGTTGTGGAAAGTCAACGTTAACTTGGTGGAAAGTAAACATTGACATTCAATGTTAAAGGATATTTTGTGAAAAGCAAAGCAAGGTATTTCATGTAAGTCGGTAAAATTCAGAACCATATACATATACTTATTAAGACCCATCATTCACTTCGTAATATACCTGAGACTGTGGATGGAAATGTGAGAAACTGTGGTCAGTTCTCCCAATGCCGGTGATCACAGGACGGTTGACCATTGGTAATTCTTGGCCACTCGACAACATAGATCCTGGAGAGAGAGAGAGAGAGAGAATATTTAATCCACAATAATAAAAGATATGCCCCCCAGTGGCACAGCGGTATGTCTGCGGACTTACAACGCTAGAAATCGGGTTTCGATACCCGTGGTGGGCAGAGCACAGATAGCCCATTGTGTAGCTTTGTGCTTAACTTCAAACAAACTAAAACTAAAATAAAAGTTATATCTTTCAAATGATTTACCTTCATCAGAGGTTGTAAGCCAATTCTTATAAATGAAAGAATGGCACACTATATGATTAAACTTTTTTTAACAGAAGGAATGTTGAGACCAGTACGGGCTCTAACTCACGAACACTCGGTGTCTTAAATGCCAAAAAAAATCTTACTTTTAATTACTTTAACTCTTGTGCTGCAAAAAGCATGTACATAAGACACAGTATATAACATTTGTTTTAGCCATAAAAAATGTGACATTATCCACACGTGAGTTTGAAATTTCTTATCATCATGAAGAAAATGTATTACCCTTCGAATTTCCCAAATAAGTTTACTAATTTGAACTATGATATAAGTAAGGAAATGTTAAAACACGTCTTTTCTGTTTTCTTTTATTGTGTATCTAAAACTAGGCCTACCGCAGGGAGAGTTGTTTATTTATAAATATGGCCATGAAATAATTAATTAGGCTTTTAACATTAGGCCTAACAAACCTGCTTTACGTACCTAAAATGCAACATTACAATGACATTTTTAACAAAGAATTTCTAATATCTAATTTTTTTTGTATAACTTACTATTAGTACACGTCTATCCACGGGTAGAAGTTTTATCAATTTACAGCTTTTGTCGTGGAAAGCAAATCACACTTACCAACAAGTCCTGAGGAAGTTACGGTTTGAACTCGATTTTCTCTCACTATCAGATTTGTACTTGGAATACGACTGTTTCCCGTAGCAACGCTGGTTTGAACAGGCGGGCTTGAGGTGGACGAGTTTAAATCTAAAAGAGGGTAACTGTTGTAACTCTTCGATAATTAACTCTTTTTAGAACTTTTTACTAAAACTCGAAGAAATCTAAGGCACGTAAGAATACCTATAACTTTTTTTATCGAATCTTATGATTTAACGGCACACTTTTAGTTATTATTGTGCTGAAATTACTAATTGTTTGTTACGAAAGTTACTTACAAGAAACTCTTTGTTAAAAGAAGATTTCGGTTACTGATCTTCGAACAGAATAACTCCTGAAAGAACAGTTAATGTCCATCTCAATCTGTTTAAGTTAACGGTCGATCTTATAAGCACAACTTAATCTAAATGTTTCAACCACGTCACAATAATAACCGGACCCTTAACGGTCACAAGTTTAATATACACATACATATTTAGGCCCTCAGGGTCATGTCACATTTTATGTGAAAACCTTTGCTCCCTTACCCATGTTTTTCAACCTAATGTTCAAATAAAGACGATTTCGTCGAATATCCAAATCTCCCAATATATTTCTTTTAGACAATTTTAAGACAATAAATATTTATAAAACAAAAATGTTAGAATTAAAAGTGACGTTTCGGTGGTCTGCTCAATTCAGGAATAGAATCCCGAATTTTGGCGTTATAAGCCTTTACTCTTATCGCTGATACATCGGATAGTTATCGGAAATTTGTAAACTGAGTTCTTCATACGAAGTGGAAAAATAGAATCCCGAATTTTGGCGTCATAAGCCTTCACTCTTACCGCTGAGATATCGGATAGTTATCGGAAATTTGTAAACTGAGTTCTTCATACGAAGTGGACTAAACTGTTAACACTTGATGTCAATTTCATTTAACCATGTCGTTTTAAAACAATGCTCAGCTACAATAAAAATCATAAATATTAAATGAGCTGGAGTTAGCGATCTCTATATTAAAATTTGGTGTTTATATAGAAAGGTCGTTAAGTCACACTTATACAATATTATTATATACAATCACAAAGTATTTTTAATGTGCTATTTGAAATGTTTCCAACAGATGTCGTCCCAAACGTAAGAGATTTATATATCCATTTTTTAGCTTACAAAAGACGATAATTTTGTAGAAATTTTCTTTTCTTTCCCAAATTAATTTATACCTGTTTAAACATTTTCAAGTTAGTACTGATGTATTTAGTCTCAAGTTTAAAACTAACATTTGGCTATTAAAAGACCATTGTTTACTTTATGAAAATAATTTTAATCCTTTAGAACAATAAAAAGATGTTGCTTGCCGATAGATGCCGCTCCAAATCCCATGGCAACTAGTCGTGTAATGTAACCACTTTTTTTTTTAAGTTCAATATTTTATGACTTCTTAAATGTATATTGTTAGATGTACCAAGCAGATAGAACACATGTTAAAATGTAGGGAGCAAGTTAAGTACTTTTAGAAAGAGAAAAAGGTACCCGTAATCTTGACGAGGGCAACTTGTCTTGCTTTCGGTCCTGGGGGTGCTGGATAAAACATTGAAGTGTTGTAAAAATGGGGATGTTTAGCTGCGGTACGAGCACCAGACTCAGCAATCTAAAGAAACATAGGCGTCATTGATTTTATATCGTAAATACAACAGTACAAATTTGAGTTAGATGATTTTTACGTAAGTACAAAAACAGCAGAATAATTTTAAAATAACTTTGAAAAAATATACAATGTAACGTAACAATAAATTTAGCCTTCGAAATGATCGCTAAAAATTAGAAACTGTTCACTAGTTAACATAAATCTCTCTACTGGTGTATGAAGAGGTAAGAGGTTTTCAGGCAGTAATAAAATATATAACGTCCTAACAATAAACATCTGAAGTCAATAAACAAATCAAGGAGAAATTCTAGACATGTAAAGGAACTGATGAAAAATCACAGATGTTTAAAGTTGAGATAAAGATATTCAAACTGACAACTATTTTGAAACTTTAGGGTATCATAGATTGTACAATAGAACTCATACTAAGTAACTGGTATATAAACTGCATATAAAGATATTCAAATTGACAACTATTTTGAAACTTTAGGGTATCATAGATTGTACAATAGAACTCATACTAAATAACTGGTATATAAACTGCATATAAAGATATTCAAATTGACAACTATTTTGAAACTTCAGGTTATCAAAGGTTATACGACGGAACAGTTGACAAAGATAGTGTAGCTTGAGGTCAGTGTGTGTGTATGTGTGGAATTCACGGCCATAATTTCGTAAGGCTGTCTATTGTCTATCTAAATCAATCTTATCCTCCAAGTTTTACCCTCCAACAATGGTCACAGCCCGTTGCCTCAAAACTGTGCTCCGCATTTTGAGGCCGAAAGTGTGATGTAATAGTGACAGTCTAATCCCACTATTCGGTTGTTTTGTTTCTAGTCTATCAGTTCAAAATTAGGAAATGTTATGCGCAGATAACCCTTTATGTAGTTTTGCTTGAATATTCACAAAGGGCAAATCAACAAACAAAATGTTACTTTCCAACAAACAAACTTTCACAGACCAACAAACGAACCGTTACTTTCTAACAAACAAACTTTCGCAGACCAACAAACGAACCGTTACTTTCCAACAAACAAACAAACATTCAAGACCAACAAACGAACCGTTACTTTCCAACAAACAAACAAACTTTCACAGACCAACAAACGAACCGTTACTTTCCAACAAACAAACTTTCACAGACCAACAAACGAACCGTTACTTTCCAACAAACAAACAAACTTTCACAGACCAACAAACGAACCGTTACTTTCCAACAAACAAACAAACCGTTATTTTCCAACAAACGAACCGTTACTTTCCAACGAACAAACTTTCACAGACCAACAAACGAACCGTTAAGTTCCAACAAAGAAACAAACTTTCACAGTCATATTTTGATGGGTTGGCAAAGCTATTAAAGTAATGAAACATTATTTGCTAGGCCCTTAAACGCTATATTATTACAGTAAAAACAATATACACTAAGCCTGTATATGTTATATTATTACAGTAAATTAGTAAAATATTATACACTAGGCCTGTATATGTTATATTATTAGAGTAAAGTAGTAAAACATTATACACTAGGTCTGCATATGTTATATTATTACAATAAAGTATTAAAATATTGTGTGATAAGCCTGTAAATGTTATATTATTACAACAAAGTAGTAAAACATTATAGCTAGGCCTGTAAAATATATATTATTATAATAAAGTAATAGAACAACGCACTTAAGCCTATAAACGTTATACAATTATTACAATAAAGTAGTAGAACATCGTACAGTAAAACTGAAAACGTTATAGTATTACTATCTAACCCAATGGTCGGCAACCTTTTCTGATCGCGGGTCAATTATTTTTTTGTTGAAAAATTTAGCATTGTGTTGGGTCAGTTAATTATATGATTATCTTCCTTGCACCCCCATCACTTATATCGTAATAGGCAGTCAGTAATCGAACAGTTCGATCCGGATAAATGCATTTTGGCTTTATGACACTTTCTATTTCGAGAAATCAAACGTGACGTGACACACATTGGCTTTTAAATAGGTTAGATCAGTGGTCGGCAACCTATGACCCGCCAAAAGTTCGCTTCACCATTGCAACCCGTAAGGGCACAATCATTGTTCAGTTCAAGTTTCTCGGCTATGTGAGAAGAACAACGATATTAAAGGAAAGAGTCACGGCTACGGAGAATTTTAAGATCAATTACAGGGAAAAATATCAAACTGGTCGAACTATTAATTTTTTTGTATGTAAATAAACATACACATTTAAAATACATGTACCGATATTAAGTCGTAAGAGGGTGGTGTTGCGGAGAAACCATATAAGTGTAGTGAGTGTTGGTATAATAAGCCTAAAGTAAAGACGTAGCGTGGGATCATGTAGCCTAGAGCCAAGTGCATAAAATTTATCATTAAAGTAAAAAATATCGATTTAATTTAAAACTTAAATTGGTTCTGTTTTCTACTAGCTGGAGTACCTGTCCCCTGGACGGAAGTTATGTAAATTCATGATTGATGAAAGGTTACCTTAGGACATGAAAAGACCTTTCCCTAAACTGAATATAGTTTAGTAGCACTACGTATACACTGAATACAGTTTAGTAGCACTACGTACATGCTGAATACAATTTAGTAGCACTATTTATACACTGAATACAGTTTAGTAGCACTAAATATACACTGAATATAGTTTAGGAGCACTAAGTATACGTTAAGTAGCACTAAATATACACTGAATATAGTTTAGGAGCACTAAGTATACGTTGAATACAGTTTAGTAGCACTACGTGTACACTGAATACAGTTTAGTAGCACTACGTGTACACTGAATACAGTTTAGTAGCACTATTTATACACTGAATACAGTTTA